AAAAAAAAAAAAAAAAAAGAAAGGAAAAAAGAAAAAGAACAAGAAAAATACGTCGCGTTGATTGCGCGAAATATGTCGACAACGACGAGGTGTATGCGAGCGACCCCGAATCTCTCCTAACGATAATTGATACGCAACGTTTTCACGCTGATAAACGCTTGCCACCGGTGAATTAATCACGCCACTTCCGGTGCATCGATGATTACCAACCGGGTAGACTCGTTGGCGCCAAGTATCGAGCAATCAACATTCCGCTCGCGCAAAATAGCTGCAATCTAGGAAGCTGTCACTTCACGGTGACACTTAGCCGCTGATTATACGCCGGCGTTCCTTCGTCCCCGCTCTTCCAATGCACGTTGTGCTGTGCGTTTGCCATAACGATGCTCGCGCGCGCCGATTCTCCTCGCCCCGATCGTACAACACGTCCTTTTATCGATCGATTTTTCACGTCCTTGCGCGTGTGTGGATGGTTTACCCGCCGGTCGAGCGAGGAATTTTAATTTTCAGTTCGTTAACGATTTAACCACGATGGGAAACTTTGATTTGTCGCGTGCGAGGCTCTGGGCGAGGTTTAACGCCCGATTGGCTTCTTGGTTTAGCGAAACTCGCGTGACAAATTATCGTGCCGATACGAACAGTTCGATAGATAATTGATCTGTCGACATTGTCGTGAATAGAGCCGAAGAGATAAAATTCAAGTAGAGATTTCTATCTCTCTTATTACAGTGTTGCAAGAGGTACAAGTGTAATCACAAGTGTGTTACTTGAACGCTACCAACTACCAAAAGTGGTCGAAACCAATTTGAAAGTTTCGCGCATGTGCTTTTAGAGATTTAAATGATCTTTCGTGTTAAATATAAATGTGTGTACTCTGTGTACTCTGTACTGTGTAGTCAAATATTTCTGTTTCTTTAATCCCACTGGTGGAAAATTTTGTGCTTCAATCCGCCGGATTCGGTTCTGGTGACCTGTTAATTATCCTCGATACCATCTCGCTCGTACGTCGAATCGATTCTCATACTCTTCGCGAGTGACCGAAAAATCGGCGAACCGAGATGGTGGACGTGGCGTTTGAAAACGGTTAATCGACGGAGACCGTTCCAAATTTAGAAGATTCGAGGTCAAAGCGCAATTTAATGAGAAACAGACGTAGAAGTTAGTTGGCATTACCTTAAAATAGATCGGCACAATCTGGCCGGGCCAGCCGGTGTGTACGAAATCCAATGAGAGTCTGTCCATATCCTTTTTTCTTATCTTTTCTTCTTCTTCTTCTTCTTCTTCTTTTCTTCGTCATCGACCTGTTAACGATTATCTTTGATTAAACCTGGAATATACGCCAACGATCGCGCGACGAATACGAATAAAAATTTAGCTTTCTCTCGTTAACGATCAGCGGCATATGCATAATTCGAGAAATTTACGATCGATACTCATTAGGTAGATAGAACGATTAAATCAACGACGTTTCGAAAGTCGAGTTATCCTTCCTTTTTTTCTTTCGTTTCACTCGATTATTTTCCCTTTGATTTTCCCTCTCTTGGAAAGTTACGTCATTGTCCGAGAATTGATAAATTGGATAAACATGAAAGAAAATGACACGTAGTCGAAACGAATCGGGCAGCGTTCCGGGGATGGAACGAATTAATTAAATGGTCGACAATGAAGGAAAATATTCAGCCCCCGTGGCAGTTCGAAGTAAAACGGGTCGACTGGTCGTTATGAAATTTTATACTTCGTTTAATTAATTCCTTTATTACGATCTTCGACAGCGACTGGTTTTGTGTAGCGAGGGCTTTAAGGAACGCTTGAAATTTTCGTCTTGAAAAGACGCTGACTATATACGTGAACGAAAAAACTATAAAGGAGGATATTTATACACGTGCACGATACGGTACGACAAATTTCATACGAAAGAAAGTTAAAAATTAGAGTAATCGAAAGATGAACGATTAGTAATATCGTTTTGATTGTCCAATAAATTTACTATTGCCTTGAAAGAAAGAAAGAAAGATGTAATATCGTTAAAATATTGGCGTGGCTACAAAAATGAACGAACCGATACTGATGAAACAAAAGAAACATTCGCGAACTATTAATTGAATAAAACAATCTAATCGGAACTTATTGGTTTATGATTTTCTGCTCGATAAATATTAATTGAGCATTCTAATATAATTTGTATTTATTAATTGAAAATTCAAATTTATACTCCGTAGGACTACAATTCGCTTCATCTGTCAAAATTCCCAATTCGAGTCTAATTCACTATTATAATTTATAGGTTTTATATTATAACTTCAAGGTTATAATATAGTATAATATAGTTGTAATTTAAAGGAATTTTTTTTTCTAACAAAAAATTTAAAGAAGGAGACGTTGAGAAAAAAGTTCGGCGTCAGATCTTCACGTAACGATGTAATAAAAAATTTTCGCGTTTCCCCTCACGATGGCGGTCATATAAGATTTCTCAGAACATTTGTATTCGTGGTGGTGTTAGCGGTGGTCCTTGCTCGTCGATACGATCGCGAGAAGACTCGTCCGCAGCAGCACACGTACGACCTAATCTGTTAGCACAGTCCAACGATTTAGTCTAGCGTAGTATCAATATTTGATTACGAGGCGTCTCCGTCCCGCATGCCGGAATTGGAGACGGATTCGTCCATCCAGATGTCCAGTGGCGCGCGCGCGAGCGGCTCCTTCGTGTTTCCGGAAGTTGGACGCCGTCGTGGAAATCGATCCGGTTGGAGAGAGCACAGCGCGAGAAAAACGTCGCGTTAATTACGATCGTGCGCTCTCCCACGATCTGTTTCGAAGAGGGATAAAACCGTGCGTTTGAAACGCACTTTTCGCAACTTTCCGATACTGAGACCCGTGTCTTTTCTCTTTCGTAGTAAAATTTTACGAAACGTAGAAAGGAAAAAAAAAAAAAAATAAGAGAATGTATTTTCACACCGGATGAAGTTACGCGAAGTTGCTCCGAACTCTGAAGAAGTTCTCTCGAGGAGGAGTTGAAGAAGGCGATGGGAAAATTGAATCCGCCAGAAGGAAATTTTGGAAAAAGACGTCGGCGCGCCCGGTATCCATGGATCGATCGTTCGAATCCGTCGAACACGCGCGCAAGCGGCCGGGACTACTACCGGCAAAGGAGTGAGAGACATTTAAAATGCGTGAAACAAAATTCCACGTCATATTTCACGGCGGGAGTTCGACGGAACGAAAAATGGTTCAATTTGCCGGCAACGATTGCCTCAATTTAATATCCTGTTCAGTTTGCTCGTTAGGTTGCCGGGAACTCGGAGCCGACGGTATCGTTAAAGACAATCCTTTGACGGAACGACTCTCGCAAGACACACCACGCCATCGGGCTCCTTCTCTGTGTGTGTATGCACGTGTGTGCGTAGACTTGCGAATCAGCCGCGACAATTCGGGTCTCCACCCCCTCTGCCGCGTCCTTCGCGTCGTCTCTTCCCTGCAAGGCGCGGCAGAGCTCGTAGAGAAAATTTCCCCGTGAAATTTCGATCGAAAAACAAGCCGCTATCCGAATTGAGAGAAGTAGCACTCCGGAGCGGAGTGACGCGACAGAAGCATCGACATCAGGCTTGCGGTAGGGGTTGCTACAAGGGGGAGCAGCGCCGAGAAAGAAGCGCAACGGAGGGCGCAACAGAGATGGTCGAATTGCACATCGCCAAATAGAAGGCGGCAGAGACAGAGACAGAGACAGAAACAGAGAGAGAGAGAGTCAGCGATCGAGTGAATGGGGAGTAAAGGCGAAAGAGAAGGTTGATCCAGAGACAGAGGAGGCTGAGCGACAGAGCGAAAGAGAGAAACGACGCGGGATAGAAAGAAGAGACAGAGAGAAAGAAAAGAAGAGAGAGAGAGAGAGAGAGAGAGAGAGAGAAAGGAAGATAGGGCGGGGAAGAAAAGAGAGACAGAGCAGAGAGATGGGCGAGGGTAGGAGGTAGTGGTTCGTTTCTTTTGGATTCAAGGAATGTTTCAATCAGTTTGATTGAAGGGCTGAGCCACGGCAAGAGGGTAAACTCGATTTACAGCCGTGCACGAGGGGTATAGGGAGAAGGGGAGGGAGAGCAGGAGAGCGAGAGAGAAAGAGGAATGGAGGGTGGGAGGGAGGGAGGGACAGAGAGAGATAGGGGAGTTTGGGTATAGGTATGGGAACGGTTCGAGCCGGGACACACGGAGTACGAACGGGGCTGGGTGGCCGGGAGTGGGTGGTAGTTTCGGGAGGAAAGAGGGAGGGTGGTAGGGTGGCGGGTGCCACAATCACCGAGATGCGTCCAATCACCCCCAGCCTCCAACGCCATCGGGTTTCGGGTGCACGGACGAGGACTGAAGGGATTGAAGGTGTACGGAGGGTGAAGGGGCCAGGGGTTGCGGAGTGAAGAGAGCGGCCAATCATCGCTCGGCTTTCCGCTGGAGCGACGTCGTCGTGGTGCTGGTTTGGCCTAGATGTGCAATCAGACCGCTTCAGAGCATCTCTGCTCTCTTTCTCTCTCTCGCGCGCGCGCGCGTTCTCCCTTTCTCCTCTGTTCTCTATCTCCATCCATCTCGATCCGTCTGTCCGCTTTTCTCGCTCTCTCGTTCATTCTTTCTCGTTCTCTCTCTCTCTCTCTCTCTCTGCCATCTCTCTTTATCCTACTTCCTCTCTGTCTTCCCCTCCTCCTCTCCTATATGTCCCGCTCTCTGTTCACCGTTTTCTCTGCCTCTCCTCGCTCCGTCTTTCTGGCCGAATACCAAATTCCAACAATTTGGGTAGGTGGGTACTTTGTTGAATCAACATGATTGGGCTTGACGGAGCTCGGCGACAGGGTGCCTCGTCTGCCGTCGTGTCGCGATTTCGGCCGGCTGCTGCCGGCAGAGGACACCGCCGCGCCGACGAGATCCCACCGTCTCGCTTCCTAACCCTTTCGCGGTCCCGGCGACCGGTTTCTAGCTTGTAATTCCATTAAGAGTAGACGCGGTCGAGTGGCGTGTCGCTCTTCGGCTCTTCGCCCCGTTGTGTCACTTTCAAGGGCTGGGAAGGAGAGGAAAGAAAAAAA